TGTTTTACCTCAAAGTAAGTTAATTTGTCTGAATGTTGTATGTCAAAGTAAGTCCACCATGCCTGTATGTCTTACGTCAAAGTAATTCCACTATATCAATATGTCGTTCGTCAATGTAAGTCAATTTTCTGTATGGCGTACGTCAAAGTAAGTCCACCATGTTTGAATGTTTTACCTCAAAGTAAGCTCATTTGTCTGAATGTTGTACGCCAAAGTAAGTCGACCATACCTGTATGTCTTACGCCGAAGTAAGTCCTTTTGTCTGTGTGTCGTAAGTCAAAATAAATCCATTATGTATGTTGCACGTCAAAGTAAATCCACTTGTCTATACGTCGTAAGTCAAAGTGAGTCCATTATGTCAGCATGTTGCACGTCAAAAGTAATTCCACTATGTCAATTTGGCGTATGTCAAAGTAAGTCCACTATATCTGTATGTTGCACGTCAAAAGTAATTCCACTATATCAGTATGTCGTACGTCAAATTAAGTCAACTAAATCCGTACGCCGTATGTCAAAGAAAGCCCACTATATCTGAATGTTGCACGTCAAAGTAAGCCCACAATGTCTCCATTCGTGTGTCGAAGTAAGCCCACAATGCCTCCATTCGTGTGTCAAAGTAAGCCCACAATGTCTTCATTCGTGAGTCAAAGTAAGCCCACAGCGTACATCAAAGTAAGTCCACCACGTCTTCATGCCTTCGATCAAAGTAAGTCCACTATTTATGTGTATGCTGTATATTAAAATAAGTCCACTTGTCCGCATGGCTGGACTTTCATTTTGATGGCTGCCATGCTCTGTTGGCCCTTTGTGCCTTGCCTTGCGTTACTTAAGTAGGGCTGTGTGTGTGTGTGTGTGTGTGTGTGTGTGTGTGTGTGTGTGTGTGTGTGTTTGTGTGTATGTGCATGTACTACATATGTGTACGCAATAATATGTGTGTGCATAATAATGTGTATGTGTGTCAAAGTGTATGTGCATGATATACAAGTATTTTATGTGTACGCAATATGTATATTATGCATATGTATTTGTACATGAGTTTGAATATGTGGGAATTTTTTTGGTAAGAGTTTTACGGCGCTCGTAGCTGCAAAAGGTGAGCGCGCTGAAAGTGTTTAATTTTTTAAAATATACTTATTTAAAATCTACGAATGTATGTGTATGAATATGTGTATCTAAGTATGTATGTATACATATGAAGGACTACCACTCCCAGGGGCGCCCTCCAACCA